AGGCACAGTCCCGATGTTACCAAATCACACAGCAGGCCATTAGTTTAAATCTGTTGAAAGTCCCAAGTTCAGCAGAGCATGGCAGGCTGCTGAACAATGACATGGTTAAATGCAGGGTCCAAACATGCCATACATAGGCTGGAGACCATTCCCAAAGCTTCTCCTTATATACAGGAAGCAGACCACATAACCAAAGACAGCTACTCAGCTGCTCCCAGTAGATTCCACCATGGAGTTGATTACCAGTCTCATCATGGGGACTACTACATCAAGCTGCCCAGCCACTCAACCAGGCCTAGCCAAGTTGACATACAAACATAACCATCACATACTACTATTATTCAAATTTATGCACCAACCACCAAAGCCAAAGATGAGGAAATTGAAGATTTTTACCAATTTCTGCAGTCTGAAGTAGACCAAACATGCAATCAAGATGTGCTGATTATCACTGGTGATTGTAAAAGTTGAAAACAAAGAAGAATCACCAGTAGTTGGAAAATTTGGTCTTGGTGATAGAAATAATACATTGCATGATAGAATTTTGTAGAACCAATGACTTATTCATTGCAAATGCCTTTTTTCAACAACACAAATGGTGGCTATACATGTGGGCTTCACCAGATGAAGTACATAGGAATCAGATGGACTACATCAGTGGCAAGAGGTGATGGAGAAGCTCAATATCTTCAGCCAAAACAAGGCCAGAAGCTGATTGTGGAACAGACCATCAACTGCTCATATGCAAGTTGAAGTTGAAGTTGACAATTAAATCTGAAAGCCCAAATATGCCCTTGATTATATCCCTCCTGAATTTACAGACCATTTAAAGAATATATTTGATGCATTGAACACCAAGGACCAAAAACCAGAGAAATTGCGGGATGACATCAAGAACATCATCCATGACGAAAGGAAAAGGTCATGAAAGGGCAGGAAAGGAAGAAAACACCAAAACAGATGTCAGAAGAGACTCTGAAACTTGCCCTTGAATGGAGAGTAGCTGAAGTAAATGAAAGAAATGACAAGATAAAAGAGCTAAACAGAAGATTTCAAAGAAGAGCTTGAGAAGACAAAGTCAATTATTATAATAAAAATGGGCAAAGACATGGAGTTGAAAGGCCAATAGGGAAGAACATGCTTGGCATTTCTCAAGCTGAAAGAACTGAAGAAGAAATTTAAGCCTCAAGTTGCAATATTGAAAGATTCTATGGGCAATATATTGAATGATGCAGGAAGCATCAAAAGAAGATGGAAGGAGCACACAGAGTCAGTGTACCAAAAAGAATTGGTTGATGTTCATGCATTTCAGGAGATGGGATATGATCAAGAACCAATGGTATTGAAAGAAGTCAAAGCTTTCTGCACTGAGGGAAGTGGCAAAATGCAAGGCTCCAGGAATTGAAGGAATACCTGTTGAGGTGTTTCAACAAACAGATGCCATGCTAGAGGCACTCACTTGACTATGCCAAGAGATTTGGAAGACAGCTAGCTAGCTGGCCAACTGACTGGAAGAGACCCATATTTGTACCCATTCCAAAAAAAGGTGATCCCACAGAATGTGGAAGTTATCAAACAATATCATATGCAAGTAAAATCTTACTGAAGATAATTCAAAAATGGTTGCAGCAGTATATTGACAGGGAGCTTCCAGAAATGCAAGCTGGATTCAGAAGAGGATGTGGAATGAGATGTATCATTGTTGATGTCAGATGGATCTTGGCTGAAAGCAAAGAATATTAGAAAGATGTTTGCCTATGTTTTATTGACTGTGCAAAAACATTTGATTGTGTAAATCATGACAAATTGTGGATATCATTGAGAAGAATGGGAGTTCCAGAATACTTGATTGTGCTCATGAGGGACTTGTACATAGACCAGGAGGCTGTCACTGGAACAAAACAAGGGGACAAAGCATGGTTTAAAATCAAGAAGGGAGTGAGTCAGGGTTGTATCCTTTCACCATCCATAGAGATACCACCTCAGAAACCCAAGGAGTGGTTGCTATGAGTCACAATTGACTCAACAACAGTGAGTTTGGTCTTTTTGGGGTTTTTTATGGGCTATATATTGAATAATGCAGGGAAGATGGAAAGAATATACAGAGTACTGTACCAAAAAGAATTGGTCATTGCTCATCCATTTCAGGAGGTGGCATATGATCAAGAACCAATGGTATTGAAGG